CTTGTTAATATATATGCATATTTAACATGACACATCTCATTCAACCATAAAACACACAGAATTCATAGCCTTCTGAGGCTCAGAAGGCCATTTCCTGGTACATTTATTGGATATCAGATCAAATAAGTCAACGCTGACGTTGCTGCTCACAAGCATGGTAGACCTTCTGTGGGATAAGATCATCTCGGTGCCTTCTCTTTGCTGCAATCATGGCAGATGCTATGGAGGCGAGGCCTCCTTCAGCCGTGCAGAAAACCACGTTCACCGTCTTGGGTATTTGTTGTTCTTCGGAGATCAAGCTGATCGATCGCATTCTGAACCATCTTGAAGGCATCGAGAACGTATCCGTCAACGTACTGGCCAAGACAGCCACCGTTGTCCACGATCCGGCAAAAGCTCCGGCTTCTCGAATAGGTATAACTCGTCGGTTCATCTTCTTCCTGCTTCACGCTGCTTGTCTCGATCGCCAGGTCTCATGTTTCACCGGCTGAAACCAGTGAGTGCGCTGAATGGGGCTCATCTGAACGCTGGAATCAAGGAGTCCGGGAGAGTGCAGATCGAGAGTCGACCATGGCCGAGTAAGAGCGTCGTCGCCTCCGGAGCGCTGCTGCTCGTGGCCTTGTGCAGCTACGTCTTCCCACCGTTGATATGGATCGCGCTGCTATCAGTTACTGTCGGTGTCCTCGACATGCTGCGGCGCGCCGTGGCGGCTCTACGGCGGTGTGTGCTTGATATTAATGTGCTCATGGTGACTGCAGGTAGCAGTTCAATCAGCTTCAATCAGCTTTGAAGGATCAATCACTGTGTCTAACGATGATGATGGTGCAGTGTTTGGAGCAATTGGGCTTGGGGATTACCTTGAGGCAGCTTCCATAGTCTTCCTCTTCACCTTAGCAGAGTGGCTGGAAGCCAAGTCTACCAACAAGGTTTAAGTAGTCGAAAAATGCAAAGCTATGCCTCTCCAACGCAGATCGTCAACGATAAATCCTTTAATTTGCTTCTCCAGGCTCGGGTTTCACTGGAATCGTTGCTGAACTTGGCACCCCAAACTGCAGTCATTGCAGAGACTGGAGAAACCGTGCACGTCAAGGACATCATGATCAACACAATTGTCTCGGTGAAAGCAGGAGAGCTTGTGCCAGTTGACGGTGCGGTGGTGGCTGGAGCAAGCACGGTTGATGAATCCAGTTTGACGGGAGAGTTCATGCCGGTCGATAAAGAGATTGGCTCGAATGTATGGTCTGGAACGACGGTTCTCACTGGTCTGTTTCCGACTTCGATATCGAGAAGAACCACCCAAATTTACGAATCATATCCTTTTCTTTGAGGAACTTGGAGCTCATATTATTACGATCTTGGCAGGGTTCATCAAGGTGGTGACGATGGCAGTAGCAGAGGATTCTGCTGTTGCGAGGATGGTTAAGCTTGTCGAAGATGCACAGAACCGGCGTTCAAACATGGAGGAGTTCATAGAACAGTTTGCAAAGTACTATACTCCAGGTTTGTAAGAAGATTTTGATGTGCGTAAGGAGTCGATGAACTCAAAAGGAATGAGATCTTAGAACAGATTCTGATTCTTATGGCATAATGACAATTCGTCCCTCTACTTAAGCTCGTTAACATGAAGGTTATATTAGTAGTGCTTTGGCCACAGGACAAGAAATTCTTACTGTTTACAGAATTTCCAGGTGTTTTCTTGGTAGCAGCTGGAACTGCAATCATACCATGGATTTTAGGTGTTCATCCTCTCCGTCAATGGATCTATCTGGCCTTGGTGTTGCTTGTGATCGCATGCCCGTGCGCTTTGGTGATCTCAACCCCAGTAGCCAAAGCATGTGGCCTTTCTGCAGCTGCCAAGATGGGTCTCATCTTCAAAGGTGGGAATTACTTGGAAGCCTTGGCAAAGGTGAAAGCCATGGCGTTCGACAAAACAGGAACACTTACAGAAGGAGCATTCGAAGTGGTGGAAGTGCAGTGTTGGGAGCCGAACGCAAACATCAGACAGTTCTTGCACTGGTAAATTGACACGGTCTTGTGAACAGATGTACTGCATCGGCTGTCTTTAACACAAGGTGTGCTCTCTTCACTCTACAGGATTTCAAGCTTGGAGAACATGTCCAGCCACCCGATGGCAAGAGCTCTGGTAGAGTATGCTAGAGTGCGTGGTGTCAAACCCAGCAGTGAAGTCAGAAACTTCAACTTGATCCCGGGAGGAATTGCTGGATTTGTAGATGATTGCTATGTTAAGATTGGAAATGCAGAAGTAGCCCTCAGCAATGGCTGGCTGAGAGAAAGTAATAGCACTTGTCTACTCTCAGAAACAGTAACCCAAAAATCTAAAGCTTGTTCGCATCTCTTAATTTCAGATGAGCTTCGTGACAATGAAGCAGGTATAACCATCAGCTACGTCGGCATGGTGGATCGGTGCATTGGATACTTCTGCCTCGGAGACCAACTCCGTGAAGAAGCTGCACGAGCTGTTCAGAAACTGAAGGTAAGAGGACCCAAAGGATTTGGTGAAAGATTTTTTGTTGTTGTTTCTTCTAACATGCATTGTTGTTGATTCAGAAACAACAGATTCATGTCATTGTTCTGACTGGTGATTCAAGGGCAGCTGCAGAACATGTCCAGAAACAGGTACAAATCAAGCAGAACAGCTGCATAACATTCAGAAAGAGCTAATGAGATGAATACTTAATCTTGTTTGTGCAGATTGGGGAGAATGTGCAGGTGGAAGCAGGTCTGTCACCTGAAGGGAAGATGAAGAAGATTGCGGAACTCAAGGAGACATGGGGTTTGACTGCAATGGTCGGGGATGGGATCAACGACGCACCGGCACTCACGGAAAGCGACGTGGGAGTCGCCATGGGGATTTCGGGTTCAGCATTGGCAACAGAAACTGCCAATGTCGCACTCATGTCAAATGACCTCCGAAGGATACCAGAAGCTGTGGAACTAGCGAGATCTTCTCTCAGGAAGATCTACCAAAACGTGGCCATGTCCTTGGCCGTGAAGCTCCTGTTCTTCGGCCTGGCGTTCGGAGGTCTCCCGTCTCTCTGGGCCGCCGTAGTGGCTGACATGGGCACATGTCTTCTTGTCATCTTCAACAGCATGCACCTCCTGCACAAGTATGGTGGGAGAGAAAGCAGCACTTGTTCGAGCCAAGTCCCACAGGAACAGAGCATCAACGTTGATGAGTTCAGTGAACCTCTGTTGTCATCGGAGAGAAGGGATCAAGATGAAGAGGCTCCATGTCTGTGTTGCAAGGGCCGCAGCAGTCAGAGAGAGAGATGAATGGTGGCATCACATACTGTTGAGATTATGTTAATTGCACAGCAATTTCACTATGCTGCAAATATGCAACTGCTGATAATGTTTATAAACCAATGACCATTTGCAGGTTGAAAGAAGCTTAAATGTTAGCTTATAAATGTATCAAATTATCTAAGACTAAATAGCTGGAGTGTGATCAAAACCCAAAGAATCTGCTCCTATGAAGCTCCAGTGAGACATTAAACCTTTACCATGAACCAAGTCAGACAATGAGCAGTGAAGATGCCTTCTGTTCCCTTGTCATCACTGGAATATGTTCTGCAAAAGATATTGGTGCCTGCTTTTTCCTCAGTTCCTTTGGATCAGAATTGATTCCGTCAGGGACATCTGAAGTGCTGTTTCGTTGTAACATTTGTAATGGCTTGTCCATTTTTATCGACTAAATATGAGTTCTTGACGAGGGTTACTTTGAGTAGAGCATGCAGAAATGTGAGGAGACTTACCAGTGCTGATGCAGGTCGTTGTCATAGGAATGACACTGCCCGCACCGTGAGTGCAGAGTTTGAGGATTCTTTCAGCAAGAACTTTGACATCTCATCTTGATTTCCAATCTGAGGAACTTGAATCCTATTCCAGATTCCAATTCTTGTATCCCTCTTCGGCGACGATGAAAGAGCTCCAGAATAGTGACCCTTATTGCACCAGTAAATCTGAGCATCACCGACTTGAAAAGTAATGCCAATGATAAATGTAATTATCTAAGCAGCACATAACATAACATATGTAGTTAGGCATAATCTAATCCAAATAATCAAATATGATACGATATGGTGGTCCAACTTATATAGCTAGACATGACCTATCATATATAGTCATGTATGATACAATATATATAATTAGGTATAACGTAACTCATGTGACTTGGTATGATCTAATGATCAAGTATTACTTAGTTCACGTGACTAAAGATGTGATCAAATACGATTCAACCCGTATTGTCAAGAATGGTGTAACCCATATAGCTAGATACAATCAAACTCAACTAATTTAAGGTATGGATGAAGTATATTTTTTTGATCCTAAAAAATATGATTATTTTTTAATAAAAATATATAATATTATAAATAAAAATAAAAATTTAAATTCAAAGATAAATATTTTTATCAATTATGAATGATAAAATGAGGATTTATTTTATGTTGGCATCATCTGAAGAAGTAAAAAGGAATCCAGAAATTTGAGATCATTCAAGTCAGTGATCACCTGATCAACTATGACTACGTAGTTGAAATTTTCCCCGTGGGGGCCATGAAATAGCCGTCTCGCTCGACTTGGGACCGAACCCAACCTCTACACGCGTTATTCGCGTCACAATCTGCAGTGTAAGTGGCCGATCACTGTGGAGCCCACTCGGATAAAGCTGGGCGAAATATGAAAGCAAGTAGAAAACAAACTACAATTCTCAAGAAAGCCTATTAACGAATACGCTCGATTAATGAGTACGCTTTTCTCTACCCGCACGTGTTACTAGTTTCGCAATCTGCATCTTAATTGGAACAAAATGGTGGGGTCCGCTCACTCAAACACTCTGCATCTTACTAGTTTCGGCTGCTGTTGAGAACGAGTGTGCACGGTTCGCCTACGTGGGCGCCCCGCAAGCTGCCACGTTCCGTTCCGTCATAAACCACAGTAAATAGCGGGCACCCCGCCCTGAGGTTCCCCTTCCCTTCGCTTTCCCTCTTTAGGAGGGCCTCATCCGGTGGCGGTCGCCGACCGCGACGCTTTCGTCGTCTACGGCTTGGACGCGCGTCAGCCGGAAATTTATCGCCTTCGACGCGGTTGGGGGATTGGAAGCACGTTTTGTTGGAGAGTTTGTGATGGTCCTTTTATCTGTGGTCGGTTAGGTCACTGGTGTCTTGAACTTTGCTGTTGATCCTCTGCCTATTCGTACGGACTTGCATGGAGACCGTAGTATCAATTGCTTCCAAAGTTGTGAAGTCTTAACAAATTTTGAGTACAAACTCCATGTAGTTTTTCATAAGTTTCATGGTTATAGAGTTTTTCGTAGTTTTCATGGTAATACAAAGGTGCTTGTGCTTACGACTATTGATACAAAACATTCTTTTTTAAGTTGGGATAAGTATTGAAGTGTATTACAATCATCTAGATATACAAGGCTGTTGTTTCTAACATTAATCATATTTAGGCTATTACAATTAGATAAATTCGATGATGCATGACACACGCACATTGGCATTTAAATCTGATTTGTACATATAACTAGCTTATGAAAAGTGAAGTTTTGATTTAATACATGTTAAATCAATCATTAGATATTATTAGACTAACACAGCAGTGAGATTCTAATGAGGATTAAACATAATATTAATCTTTTTAATGTAGGAATTATCTGAGATGTTAGAGAGATTTAGATCGTTTGAAATGCTTCTGTGTTGTCATTGAAAGTATGTTAAATAAGGATGAATTAGGTTTTGAGATGCTTCTTGATTTAATTGGGTTATTTGGAGCAAAATTTTTTATAAAAAAAACTCAATTGTAGATACATTTGTGCCCAAATATCTTAAACTTAAGTTGGATTTATCCATTGACTTAAAGGTAATATATTAATTTTCTTTAAGTAGTTTAATTATGAGTGATACTGATTTAACATCATTTTAACATGAATCATATCTTGGGACCAAATTTTTTTTAGGGGTAGTAATGTAATAACCAGGATTTTTCCACTCGTCCCAAAAATAAAAACTTCCACATTAGGATTCTACCTTATATGATTAATCTATTTCCTTGATTGAGCAATCTAATTAAGGAAAAAATAATTAACATTATTTATTCTTATTTCCTTGACTGTATAGACAGTTTAGGGATGAAAGTAATTGTTGAATAATTAATTAATTCGAAAAAAATATATTTACTTCGGAACCCACTTCCCTCTCCTATATGCTGCCCAGACTTCTCTGTGGTTGATCAATAGGGTCAAGCGGAACTTAACAGTACAAGCAGATTAGAGGGCGGAAAGGGACCTTCAAGAGTCGGTATGATGATGCTAACTTCATTATTTAAAAATTTTGAATTATGATTAAAGATTTTTGGGTATTGAAATAATCTTGTATTTTAAAATCATGATGCCTGAATTATGTTGTCATTTTAAATATTGAATCATGTTTAATAAGCAAAATTAATGAATTTTTTGAAAATTTGCCATTGTCCATGATTCCTTAAATTGGTTTAATTATCGTGATTTGTTGATTTATTTGATTAAATTAGTTTGCTTATTATTGTTAACTTCATTAGAATTTCGTGTCTAAATTAGATTGACTTATTTCATCTATAAATCATTTGATAATTTGATTCATGTTAAAAAGAAATATTTTGGATTTCATAATTGTTTTATGATTCAACAAGTTCTAAAGCCTTATTTAAAGCTATGTCATGAAATTTGAAAATGATTAATGGTTTTCAAGTTTAGATGGTATTTGACACTAAGATTGATGATATGATGCATATTATTAGTATTGTTGATATCACGAGGGAAATGTGATCCATGTTAGGAGTGCCCCCTTCAAAAAGAGCTATGGGCTCGTCGTAGAGCCACCGATGGATGGAGTCTCCCATGTCATATACGATGCATGATCTATCATGATATTTTGTATGACTTATTTGAATGTTTGCATGACAAGTGAAAATAAATGATTGTGATATATGATGATGAGGACTTTGTTTCCTACGAAGGCACAAAGACCAATACTGATTGGGTGACATCTTTCGGGGATTAGCGGGCTATTGGGTGTGGTCGATGGAAGGTTTCTTCATCCTTTGTTGGGAGGAACTTGTCCCCACTTTAATACATTAAGGACATCACTTCATTCATTGTTGATAGTGCGATATGAGATCTTTTCGTTCGTTGGTGTGAGAATATAGAACTCATTCCGTGAAGTGTGTCTCTTCATACATTGTTGCGAGAGTATATCATCGAGTGTCTAATATACGCCTATGTTATATGTGGATGTCATAACTGAGACATGTTGTATGAAACTTATGCATGATCAAAATGTGTTGCATGAAATTAATGCATGATTTTGTTTATTGAATAAAAATTATTATTTTCTATAATGATTATAAATACTTATTTGATAAATTTTATTAAAGGTGTTAGTATATAATGATTGAAAATGTTTTATGATATTGAAGATTTTTTTATGATTTTTGGAGCTTTTTACTCAGTACGATTATTGATGTGTTTTGATTTCACATTTATTTTCAAACGTGATTTGTATTAGATCTGGAGGCGACTTTTGTTGTTAAGTAGGATTGCCAAGGAGTTCCTGCTTGTTTTTCAGGATAATGAAGTTTATTATTGTAAATACAAATGAATATTTAGCTTTGTAATCATTGATTTTGAAGTGGTGGTTTATGCATGGTATAATTTTCTTGGTAAAAATGTGAAGCATATTGGGGCGTGACACTTTGATTGAGGCGAGGATGGTGACCGGACACCTTCTTCACCACAAGAAGAGCTCATGGCCTGCAGATGAGTATGTCAGCCAAGCTACGTTGCTGCTGGTGAGGCTCTTCTTTGGTTCTCTAAGTTGTTGAAATCTTCCATTTATCATTACTTCTTCCAGTAACAATACTTTTAGAAGTTACCCTTTCAAAGTTGCTTTCGGATTTGGTTTTATATCTGTTTTTATGCTTGGAAAATGGTTTTACCGAGCTTTATCTAATATTCTCCATATCTCGACATTTAGTGTAGTTCTTTAGTGGTCTTTGACTGTTTTCTTTAACCAAAGTCGTGATGACAGCCTTTGCTATTGTTCATTGATGGATATACTTGTAGCTGGATTTCGATGGTGGCGCCCCACCAGAACATGCATGGAGGAGGAGGTTAAACAGTCATGCTAACATACTGAAGGAATTTAGTGTGACATTCATGGAGGCATTTAGAATGGTACAATGATTGTACCCTTTGTCAGCTTGTATGCTGTTTAGTAGTAAGTTTTATTGATGAACTTGCTGATATATGTTATCAATATTTGAATTAGCTGCGCCTTGGTCTTCGTCTTTGGTCATATGTTAGAGAGGAAGCTTCTCAGGGAAGGGTAAATTCAGCAACCTATTGCTCATCTATTGACTTAATGTATCATAAAAATACTCATTTTGTTTCTGTAATTTTTTGGATTTTGGTTTCTTTTTGAATTTTTAAGGCACATGATTTTTTTTTTTAATTTGGAGTTATGATCTTTGCTTTACAGAAAGCACCAATTGATCCTTTCACAAAAGAACAATGCAAACCTACAGCTTCACAAGGAGTGCCACTTGGAGGAATGGGGTATGTGTTTTTTAATTTAGAAAATTTCCTTTGCAAATGTTATATCTCATGATTTTATTTCATTTTGCAGAAGTGGCAGCATCTCAAGAGGATTTAGAGGGGAGTTTAAACATTGGCAAATAATCCCTGGTTCATGTGAAACATCCCCTGTTATGGCAAATCAGTTTTCTGTAATTATCAGTTTTTCTTTGACATCCTCCTGTCCAGTTCTTTTTTTTTCTTTTTCCTTTCTTGAAATTTTCCAAATGGAAATTTGTTGTCCACTTGCAGTTCTGGACTGTTTACTCATTTTGGTTTTGCCATATGATTAATTACTTTCTACCTTAGTACTTGAATTTATTGTGAACCGAAGAACTGCAAAGTAATGTATTACCTACCAATTTTTTATTAAATAGCAAGTTGTCTGACAAAGGTGAAAGTTAGTTGGCAGAGCTTATTTTGGCTTTGCTCTTCCTTTTGGCCCTTCCCATGCACTGACAAATAAGAAATAGCATATGAGAGAGGCACAAAGTACAGATTTTGTTGAGAAACTGTCAAGTTCTTAGGTTTATCACTTGAGGGAGGGGAAGGCATTTTGCTTTTTCATGGCTGTCCCATCTTTTCTTTGTTTTAAATTGTTGTTTTTGTAGTTGCTGAGGGAAATATGGTTGTATCAACATATAGAATCTTAAGGCTGTTTGGAAGACAAATTCTTCTCTTTTACCAAGGAAATTTTAATTTGCGAGTTTCATTATCCAATATGTCTGTATGTAGTTAGGTAACCATTAAACTTTTCATCCAATGAGGGAGTCACACCTGTTTCATTGACTGTAGTTCTCACTTGACAATTGAAATCCCATTGGGTGTAATGAATTCTTGTTGAAAAGTGATCCTTTTTGTACTGGAATTAGTATCCTCTGTTATGGTGGTTGCTTGGACAAGGATAATGTGGGAAGATGGAGTCAATGCCTTAGAATATATATTATGGTGATCTGTTTGATTAAGCCTTATTTCCCTGCTTTCTTGGCTTATGTAGCTACCTGGTTGATAGTGGTCAGGAATTAGTTAATTTTCTGGTGCTAGGATGATATTATCTTACTAGCTGTAACTCCAGACCAAGTATTCTTAAATATTTGATGTCATTGTCACTTGAAATTTTCCTCTTCTCGAAATTCCATCTTTTGGTGGGTTAAATGATGAAGGGAAGGCCATCTTAAATGTTAAGTTAGAATGGTAAGGCACACCTAAATTCCATAGGATAGTTATTCTTGCTAATATTATCAAACCTTTAATTTCATGCTCTATGAATCTTATTGGTCTTACTTCGTACAACTTGTCCCAGTTTTATTCTAAACCTGAGTTTAGTGTGAAGGCAGTCACTTGTATCTTTTCTAACAAAACTCTATTTATCCATGTCTTGGAACTTTTGGTTTCAGTGTTCTTTTAAACTGTCCAATATGTTGTTGTCTTAGGAAATTGGCATGCCAACTATAGGCATTTTTGAATTAACTGAGTTTTAAGCTATAAATGTTCAGTTCTTGCAGACATTTTTCTGCCAATTTGAAGATGAATGACATGGTTTCATGATACAAAATGTGCAGATTTTTATATCTCGAGATGGGGGGGAAAAGAAGTACTCATCAGTTTTAGCCCCAGGGCATCATGAAGGATTAAAGTAGGGATTTTTCCTCACTTCTTGTTTGAACATAGTTTTTTATTCTGTTTACTTGTTGTAAAGATTTTCTTCTTTTTTCCGTTTTGCCTTAGCATATGATCAAATTTTGTAGAAAGGACACATTTCGTTGCCAATATAAATAGCAGATGTGTGTATGAATATAAATTTCTCTTTTAAGTTTTAATACATTTCTATGACCAAGATTCGAGTCACTGAAACAATCTCTATATATAACTATAGGTACAATTATATATAGAGATTTATATCCATACATAGGTACATATTTTTTCTAGACGAGTTATTTATGATCTTGATAATTTTTTTGCTATTTAAAAATTCTCTTATGGTATATTTTTAGGCTACATAGATCAAATCATTAAAATATCTTAAAAATTATGTGCCCACTGACCAATTTTTGTTTAATTTTTTAATTAAATGTTTGATTAAGCCAGAGATGTAATTGACAAGTATTGCCAAAAGAGTTCGACATAGAAAATATGATCTGTAATTATATGTTTATCATTGGCATCTATCTTCATTTGATTAACAAGAAATTTTTATTTTTTCAATTTTGAATTAATAGTATTAAAATTTGCAGTGAGGGGCATGTATATTTCCCATTATTAACGTAACTTCAGTTACTAGCTTAAAGGAAAAATGTTTTGTTTGGATAAATAATTTGTAGTGGTGGAAGAGTTGGTGAATGAATAGGAGGCCAAAGTTTAGATACTTAATCGATTGAGGTGGCCACACTATTGAATATGTAGACATTTCTCGTAGATTACAATCATTGATTTTGTATCAGGTACAAACTAGCAGGCCCCTGTACATGAATTCACATATTATCCCCAAGCCAAATTCAAATTGCAGGTAACCTAGGCAGAGTGTAGTGCATGTTCAAATCTGTCGTGAATGAGTAATGACATCCGCTATCTAGTGAACACTTTTATCATGCACTAAACATGATTACCATACTCTATATTGAGGTTCTTAATGGGCAAGCAGCCATGTCAACATGTTGTGTTGTGGATTTTCCAACACATGCAATAAAAAGTATAAATGCTAAATAAATACTCAACTCCAAATAAAATGTAATATTATTTTTTAAGGTGCAAGAAAGAAACACTGTCCCTAAAAGAATAAGAAAAATTCTTGGTTGTGAAAGTGTAGGCAAAACATAAAAAAACTTGTTACTACAGACAGATAGGTTTGCTCCTGGTGGTTGAGTGTTGATTACACCTTTACTTTTTTCGATTCTGTATATATCAAAATTTATATGATGTATTTTGTGCTGGCCATTGAGATAGAAATTTGTTAATGTTATTTGTTACATGCTCTTTTAGCATATGAGAAATGGAAGTTTGCTGGTCTAGATATCTCTTAAATTTCAAGTTTTACTGGTTCTTTTGTCTTTGTGCAAACATTTCAGGAAAAATGGTGACCTTGGTATATCCTCATGGGACTGGAACTTGAGTGGTCAACACTCCACATATCATGCTTTGTTCCCCAGGGCGTGGACTGTTTATGATGGTATTATTGTAGTTACATTTAATAGAGTCAGCACTTTCTTTTAGGTACTTCACCTGTAATGATAATTGATGTTGAGCCAAGAAAGGCTTGACACTGTCCACTATTTAGCCACTGACAGCCCACTGTTTCTTCTTTTTAATAATCTTGGTTCTATCCAGTGTCTGTCGTACCAAAGCGTACCGCCCGTACCGGGCGGTACGTACCGGTCCGACAAATACTCGGTACGCGGACCGCCCGGTACCGCTACAGTATTATACTATAGCACTGCTACAGTGTACAAAAAAATAATATAAAATTATCGGTACACCAGGGTGTACCGCCCGATACACCGTTACCGTACCGTACCGAGCCCGGGTCGAAATTCCGGTACGGTACGGTATGGCGGACCTTGGTTCTATCAATATGAGATGTGGTTTACTATTAGTAATGTCTAAATCATTATTATATTTTGCTTCTGGTATTTAAATGCAATTGGTTATTTCCTCCAGGTGAACCAGACCCCGACCTCAAAATCTCATGTCGCCAAATATCGCCATTTATACCTCATGATTATCATGAAAGTAGTCTTCCCACAGCTGTATTTGTTTACACAGTATGTGCTTTATGTTTCAATTGTATTTGAGCAAATTACCTTTGTCCTCTTTGGTGCCCTTTTTGTGGCTTCCTGAAAGTTGCAAATTTTCCATTTGACTCTGGCAGGATGTAAACAGAGCTTGTTTGTGCTATTTTCATTTTATATGGAAAATATATTTTTATGATAGAATGCATACTAATATTAATCTTCAATCGTGATTTAGCACTTAGCCTTAACTATAGCAATAGAAAATGGATTATTTGTGGTGGATACAGAATTTTTTTTCTCTTAGTTATGGATTGTTTTCACTTTTCAGTCACCTCATTGTGAAGAAAAGGTTATTCTGCTGCCTGAAAATTGTTGCATTGCATCTATGCTAGTACTGAGTTTTTTATGAGGTTCTCCTTGGCTTATTTTTGTGCTGTTGGTAACATCTGTAATCTCTTATTTCTTCTCATTTGTAGCTAGTTAATACTGGAAAGGAAAGGGCAAAGGTCAGCTTACTGATGACCTGGGCGGTAGGTGAACCTTCTGTGTCTATTTTTTTTCCTTTTTGAGCTGCTAATCCTCCAAATTACCTCTCATGTTTAGTTTTTAATGCCATTTTTTGGTATTGGGTAGAATTCTATTGGAGGAGTTTCACATCATACAGGTGGCCATATCAATGAGCCTTTCATGTGAGTGTTATGCTGTTCAAGTTTTTGAATTTAATTGTTCTCCAAGTAATTCTTATGATTGACATGCATGCTTTGTTACGATATGTGCAGAGACGATGATGGAGTGTCAGGGGTGCTTCTACACCACAAGCAAGTTATCTACCTTTAATTGTCTTATAGGACAGTTGATTAGCAGATCTTTCTTGTGACCATTCCAATGGCAACATAAATTTGAAACCACCACCCTTTCCGTCTCCCTCACCTACTACTCTCTTTTTACCTAAATATTCCTTTTTTAGAAACTTTTCTTGCTTTCTACGTTAATGGAAGTGTCTATATCTGGCTAGAGGTCATTCATAGTCTTTCTGTAGTTATTCATTTGTTTTCTTTCTTCTATTTCATTTTTTTATTCATAGATATAATTTGTGCAATTTCTGGTTATATGTTTCTATCCAGGACTACGAAGGACAATCCTCCTGTAACATTTGCTATTGCAGCTTGTGAGTCTCAGAATGTTACTGTTACTGTGTTGCCAAGTTTTGGACTTTGTGGGGAAAATTATGTTACAGCCAGGGATATGTGGGGCACAATGGTGCAAGTAATTCTTCTTTGGCTCACAACCTTGGTTATAAATTTTAAACTGCCACCTTTTTTATTTGATCATGTCATTATTTTCTTTTATTTTTCTTGATTATATGGGATTTTTCCCGTGATTTTTTCTGAGTAAAAAAAAAACACTTTGATTGCAATTACATTTAGTGACAGTGAATTAATCAGTGATTTTTTTTTTGTTAAGGATGGGCAATTTCAGAGGGAAAATTTTGGAGCTGGCCCTTGTGTGCCATCTTCTGTTGGTGATACCCTTTGTGCGGCAGTTTCAGCCTCTACATGGGTTGAACCACATGGTAGATGCACGGCTGTATTTGCTTTAGCATGGTCATCTCCAAAAGTGAAGTTTCAGAAGGGATGTACATATCATAGGTGCTGTCATACATCCTCATTGTGCTATTTTTTTCTTTTAACAAAAAACTTTTGTGACTTTTTTTAATTCCAGTTAACAATTCTAGCAGACAATAAAGTTCTGTTTTTTTCGTGTACAATAGACTCTTTCGTGCACCATGGTTAGACATGTGTTTAAGTGTAATTGAATCTACATATTTTTTAGACATGTGATTAGACGTGTACATAATTAACCAATTGTATGTACTGTCATTTTTCGCGAGTGTCTGAGTTTAGAACCTGTGATGGTGCCATATTTTCATCTTTGTGATGTTCATTGTTGCAAGGAGAGATCCACTGCTACCTTTTATGTAAGTATAAGTTGGGACACAATTTTAGCTTTTAATAAAGTATTAACCATGTGAGGTTCCTAGAGTGAGATTCCTTGACAAAGATAGGATATGTACGAGTAAAGTTGAGGTTGAATTTTAAAGAATCAGGGTTGTTTCTTGGATTCTGAAGTGTGTTTTTCAAATTTTAACATTGGCACACCAGTCAGCAATGCTGCTGAGCTTTTTGGCTCTAGTTGGCCTTTTCTAAATTTTGATTATTAAGAGAAAAGTCTTCTCCCAATTTTGATTTTAGAATTTTTGTTTATTCCTTTCTTTTCTCTTACAGGAGATATACAAAATTTTATGGTGCCTCTGAAAGATCGGCTATTAACCTAGTGCATGATGCATTAAAGAGTACGTATACATGGCAATAAGCTTGATCTCTCAGTTATCAGAAATTTGTCATTTACTCTTTGCAGTATATTGGGATTGGTAATGTATTGACTTGCTTGAATAATCATTTATATATATTGTGGCTATACTCAATACAGGACTGTTTGGCAGAGTTTGCTTATTAGTTTTAGCTATTTGACTCTGACAACCTTTCCCCTATGTTACAGAGTACAAGTTGTGGGAGGAAGAGATTGAAAAATGGCAAAATCCAATACTTCAAAATGCAAAACTTCCTGATTGGTAATTTTGATATTGTTAGACCAAAAATTATTTCCATTTTCCAGTTTATGTGGTTCTATGAGACATCTGCATTGTGATCCTGCATATTATAATATTTGGCAACTTCAGTATTGTCCAAAAACATATTTAAGAGTAGCAAGACTCTTGTAGCATATATATATATATATATAACTTACTGTGTTCGATCTTTTAAGTAGTTTGTTGCACATGGATTGCATTACATCATAATTACATCTAATTTAAATCTTGATTAATTTGGCAGGTACAAGTTCACTCTTTTTAATGAGCTTTATTTTCTAGTTGCCGGAGGAACAGTTTGGACAGGTACTTTTGTATGTTTTCTATTTCTTTTTGTTCCTTAGTCCCCCACATGTTAACTTATTTTATGTAGAAGAGCTGAACTTTTTTTTAACTCTCAGTGACCTCAGCTTTTGGCAGTTGTAGACATGTTTAATTAAATAATAATAATTTTTCATGTGTTAGTATGATAGTGTTTCATTAGGCTGCTTGAAGGTAAACATGTTGCTCAAGTCTTCAATTTTTTTAGAGAGCTTGTCATGGATGGCTCCAAGCTAGTAATACCTTAATTAATGCAGATGGTGAAGCCCCAATAATTGAGGAGAACCTAAGCGCTGCTTCCGACTGCCACGAATCCACAAAAAGTAAGGATGAGAAATCTGTTTCCAAAGAGAGACATGTTAATATGGTTGTGGAGAGAACTTTTACAGACAGCAATTTGAACAATGAGGAATTTTTCTCACCAACTTCAGTACAAGAATTGGCTGATAACGATGATGTGTGTGTCCCTGATTCTGCACAGACTGGTAACGTTCTGCATCAGCAGCACAACCCTGAAAATGTTGGGAGGTTTTTGTACTTGGAAGGAGTAGAGTACATTATGTGGTGTACATATGATGTACACTTCTATGCTTCGTTCGCTCTTCTGGATCTTTTTCCAAAAATAGAGTTGACCATTCAACATGATTTTGCCAGGGCTGTGTTGCATGAAGACAGAAGAAAAGTCAAATATCTGAATGATGGTAGCTGGGGAATTCGAAAAGTCAAGGGTTCTGTTCCCCATGATTTAGGAACTCACGATCCCTGGAATGAGATGAATGCCTACAATATACATGACACCAGTAAATGGAAGGATCTCAACCCAAAGTTTGTGCTCCAGGTGTATAGGGATTTTGCTGCTACAGGAGACATGTCCTTTGGACGGGATGTCTGGCCCGCCGTTTGTGCTGCTATGGATTATATGGAACAATTTGATCGCGATGGTGATGGCCTCATTGAGAATGATGGATTCCCTGATCAGACATACGATGCATGGACGGTTCATGGTATCAGTGCTTACTGTGGTTGTTTATGGCTCGCTGCACTCCAAGCTGCAGCAGCAATGGCAGAGCACCTTGGTGACTGGGCCTTTGCTGAAAAATGTAAGATTAAATTTCTGAAAGCCAAACCCGTGTTTGAAGCTAAGTTGTGGAATGGATCATATTTCAATTATGACAGTGGAAACAGCAGCAACAGCTGCTCTATACAGGCTGATCAACTGGCAGGACAGTGGTACACCGCGTCTTCACAGTTGCCCCCACTTTTTGACGAAATTAAAATTAGAAATACTCTTCAGACAATATTTGAATTTAATGTGATGAAGGTCAGCGGAGGGCGCATGGGAGCAGTCAATGGGATGAACCCAAATGGAAAGGTTGATGAATGTTGCATGCAATCACGAGAAATATGGACTGGTGTCACATATAGTTTGGCAGCCACCATGCTTCTTCATGGAATGGATCATGAAGCTTTTACTACTGCCGAAGGGATTTTCACTGGAGGTTGGTCGGAGGAAGGGTTTGGGTAAGTGTTGCATTTTCTTGTCCTATCTGCTATACTATTAATCCTCACAGTAGGCAAAACTTTGCGTGATTTCCCGGCAAGGTACTTATTACACTTTTATCTGTTACAATTATATGGATTCACATACACTTGGCTGGTTTGCTGGTTGTTCTTTCAGTTCTGCACCCATCCAAGGACACTTCAGTTCTATTTCCATTGCAAATATGTCATTCTCTATCAGCTTGATTTTAACATGATTTTGGATTATGCTGTTGCAGATTGTCTTCTTGTAGTGGTGGCATTGACTAGCCATGTTTTTTTCCTGGTCTGGCAGGTACTGGTTTCAAACTCCTGAGGGATGGACAATAGACGGCCGCTACCGTTCACTGATCTACATGAGACCACTTGCAATCTGGGCTATGCAGTGGGCTTTGTCTCCTCCAAAGACCATTCTCGAGGCCCCTAAAGTAAATATGATGGATAAGCTTCTCACATCAACCCTTAACATGACAACACTTAATGATACAGACATCCAAAAAATCGCACCTAAGATTGGTCGTTTCGGCAATGCTGTGTTTCACTGTGAATGCTGATCGATCAAACCTTAGGGAAAGTTCACAAAATGCATTACAGGATAGTCGTAGATTTTTTTTTCTCTTGAACCCTCGAGAAGAGTATGGGTTTGGGAGTTCTTACATTGTAAGCTAGGGGAGCAAATCAATCAGTAAGTCATAAAATTAGCGTCTCACGATGTCGCAAGTGTATCAATGTACAGTTGTTCCATTTTGCTTTCAAGTTGTATAATTTTTGTGGAAGTCACGGGAGCAAACGCAACCGATAGTTGCAAAGTTGGGAGAATGCCCTTTTGTTGCTGATTTGCTCATATGTTTCTTCTTGAATGTATCCTTACACACTTCATCAGCGACTGCTTTTGTTTTTGTGTGGATCTTTGAAATTTCTGATACAGGATCCAAGGTATTTAAAAATGCAAAATATTAACCGAGAGTTCTGTGTTTTTTGTTTTTTTATGACATTTATTTTGGTTCTTAAATGTGTAAGTTATCGTAGATGATCAAGTTTCAAGTCAAGAAAATAATCGATCATCTTCGGACTTCGCATATGACCAAAATCGACTCTTCCTAGTTCGAGTCCGTCGAACCGTGGGCCACAAAGATTGGCCAGGGAATGGATCGATTCCTAAATTCAACGTATATTCGAAGGTCGCAGGATATTAAGAATATCCTGTATACTCTTTCCTTTTTTTCTATTTTTCTGTATCTGCTGCCAGTTATCGCTAACAAATAAAGTACAAAGATACACTTGATATTTGGATCAGGACTTGTGAAAAGTAATTTACATGTCATGAATGCTCTTGTTGTCATTTCTGGAAGCATCCTGAAGCAAAAAGAAATGATACAATCTATCGAACATCCAAAGAAGAACCACATGGTGGCATACAAATTATGTAGTCTTCAGTTCACTTCTCAGCAAAATAAAGGTGACAAAAGAAAACAACATAGTACACAATTTATGCACAGAAACAATAATCAATGTTGCCATTTTTGAAGAGAATTAAATAATTTTTTGAGAAATAAGCAAATACAGATATTTCTTTCTTTGTGTGTTCAAACATAAGCCACACAAGGGAAAATAAAGCCATAAAATATCAAGGTCTTTTTTTATTAACTTTGTTGTTCAGAGACATCACTTCTCCACTTCCTTCTAATAGGAATTTTCTTAAAGACTGCACCCTATGATTCATACCTAACATAGATATGAAACAAGTTACTCTATCTGCTACTACTGCTAGAAGTGTCTCCTCCCAAATAACCTCCATTTGTACTGGAAACTTTTTATTGCAATAATGATGTTCATATCGACAGCTACCGGTGTTGTAACATTAGTCAGTCCAATGCTGAGATTGGAATTCATGAGTCCTCGTCATTTATTCTCGAGTGCTTGCTTGGTGGAAGGGAACTAGTAAGAGCATCTGTTTCCTTCTCATTGGAAGGTTCAACTTCAGACATCTTCCACTTGTTACTGACTTGCCTAAAGCCCTCTGTTATTTTTGAATCAGTGGAACTATTTTGTGCTTCTGGGAGATCAATCTTAGCAGTAGAATGTGTTTGATCGGAAGATATGGTTGTTGGTTTTTCTACAGTGGAAGAACAATGGGTCTTGTCCATGGTTGACTTGTATTGCTTCTCAAACATCATTTGCAGGTATTTCCCTTGCTCTTCAATTCTCAGCTGCAGATTTCTCTGAATCTGTGAAAGAAAAGGAGAGAATAAGCTGTAAGAATGACAGACAATTAGTGGTCATCAAGTCGGATTTGTAGATTTTAATACAATCTATTTTGCCTTTGGACAAAAAAAGGTCAGACTTACAAAACTGGAGGTAACTTGCCCAGATGTCTACATTCTACAAGCAATGACCAGTAGAAGCAAGTGTATTAATTAATAGCATGTCATAAAAAAGGGTGCTCCTCAGCCTAAAGTTCATATCGTGCCTCTAATGGACATGGTGCATGATAAAATGCCGACAAAATAATACAGACAATTTAAAATATAAATTTGTTCGAAGGAACAGTTCACAGATTTGGAAAGCTGCACAATAATTTAAGAAACCGATCTCTACTGCCCTTTAGTTTAACAATTAAAAACAAACCTAAACTATATATATATATATATATATATATATATATATATATATATATATATATACAGCAGAAGCAGTCATTGCAGTAGTATGTTGTTATAGTTGCTTTTGTCAGTGCTAGTCATTGCTATGTATGTTGCAGCACTCCTGGAAGGACTACAAAATACTGATAATAAAAAGATAAGAAACAAGGAAACAGTATGTTCAATTATCCCAACAAATCTATAATCGTGGAAAACATGTCCAAGAGAAAATATTGATAAGCCAGATTACAGAGTCCTAAATTCTATTACAGGTATGAAAAACAAATTAAATAAATAGAGTTGAAATTTCAGAATATTCACAAGTACAGCAAAGCAACAAGCTAAAGCATGCTTATAACAGACCCACAAAAACAAACCTCAAGTTGTTCATGAAGTCGCTTCTGAACTTCCATCTGGAGTCGTAATGCTTCAGTGAAATCAATGCCTCTGTTATAAAAAATGGAATGCAGGATCAATGATTAACTGTAGAAGCTTATACCTATTGACTAGGACTGACAGCAAAGAATGAAAAGAAAGGAGGCTGTGATGCACATTCCAGTTTAGTTGCTAATGAAACACAAGAGTCAAGAAACTGAAAAGGATCTATAATATAAATAACTAACAATAAAGAAATTTTAATTTGGTACTAAAAGCTAACATAGAACCACAATGGCACAACCCAACAGAGCACCAAGCAAAGAATGAATTTTGAAACATAATGGTCAACATATAGCCAACCTATCATGGTTGTTAAGTGATTGCTCAGGCACTATGCTGAAACATCAAGATGTCAGAGACAAGATGAAGGATTCATGTTTAATCAACAACACAGCAGTGGATTATTCCCAAAACTTCCATTAAATACAACCAGAAGATCGTGATTTCTTCCGAAAGCAGATGGTTATTTACATCTTAAATTCAATTCTTTTCTCCCACAAGGCAGCATCCGACAACAGAAGAGCTACAGAAACAAAGGATCCATTATTTGGCAAAAGTTAACTCACGTCTTTAGATCTAGAGAAGGTAATTCCTCACTCTGAGTGGCCGTCTTTTCTGACATCCCTGATGCATCAAGAAATAACATTAACAAAAAAAGACACAAAGCCCACATGATGTTTACTTTAGCTTATAATTATAGCAAATAGATTCCACCTAAGGAATTGAAATGCATTAAAGAAGGTACAAGGGCAACAAATTACATATAGCAAGCTAAGGAGAACATCTTCCAGGAGTATTTGTGTCATTAGAGAAAGAAGAAATTGCTTAAAGAATATGCTTCAGAAAACAGTAACAAAATAAACATATTAAAGTTTTAGTTCAAAAATTATAACCAACTTTGACAGACCTTCTAATGAGTCTGGCTTATAACGTGCAGTCCTATATTTCTGGAGAAAAAAAAAAGAAAAGACCTATTAATGATCAGACAAGGAGATATTATACAAGTGAAGAGAATCCAAAAGGAGACAAATAGCTAGACCTGTAGATGACTTTTCACATGGTATATTGTCAATCCTTCCACTTTCATGATATTCAGTACACCTTTAGGAGTAGCTTCTGAAGGTAAAAAGACAATTAAGAGTGAATACAGAAAACTCCTGAGAGTGAACACAGGAAACTCAGTGAGCCACCAAGAATAGAAAGGAGGAACACACAAGATATAACGTACTTTCACTACCACCGAGCTGGTTGACAGCATTTATGAAGCATTCATGAAGCTCTGGAGTCCACCTCATCCGTGGCTTGGCTGCAGCAGTAGTGGCAGAAGACGATGCACCAGTGACAGCACAAACCTCACCAGAATGGCATGGAACAGACTGATCTGTTTGCGGCTGCTGCTTTGAAATATTAGAGGAGGATTGGGCAGGTGGGTAAACAACCTATAGACAATCAGAAATCATATAAACCAGTTGCAATTTTAAAATATCTAATTACAGAATGAATTGGCTATGGGAAAATTCATGCACCACAATGAAGATAATTATACACCTAAATCATATAATGCTTATGTAATATATAGGGACTGTCTTAGACTGTTAAATACCAGATAGTTCAAGAATTATATGATATGATCATTTCAAATACTAGAAGTTGATAACACTGATTTCTTTTTCAAATAAAGGTCTTGTGACTCAAGTGTCGAGAAGCACAAGATTATCTTGTAATCCGAAAGACAGCAGGCAAGGACCATGTGTGATTTAACATACTACATTTGTTGCAACAAATGTAAACTCTAATGGACAATATGAAAGAGGGAAGAAACTAATCCTTTCTTCAGCATTCTACAAGTACCTGTAGATAGTTCAATTACCTTCGGTTGAGATTCAGAGATAGTTGTATCATCAAAAAGATCCTTCCAATCCACATTCATTATATCACTCCACCATTCATTTTGCTTATTAAGGTCATTAGAAACCTTATTTGAGCTATTTTGTATTTGATTGTTCCCCATAATTACACCATCTGAACAATTTAGCATGCCTTGAACTGAATCCGGACACCAGGTTATTTCAGTTGGATCTTTGGGGAAATTATTTGGCACTTGAAATATTTCCATATTTGACAAATAGGTTGAAGGCAAAGAAACTCCAGCATTCAGTGATCGACTGACAAATGGAGTATTGTTGGTATGCCTCTCATGGGCGAGAGTTGAAGAGAAAGTAAGATCTGGAGAAAATCCAGAAGGTGATGAAAACAAAGGTCTCTGGGAAGGCAAAGGATTTCTTTGTATTTCCCTCTCCAGTGGAACATGTTGGGGATCTGGTAGTTCAGGGAATTTCTCCTCCAAGGTGTTTGGTAGAACAGGTAGAGATGATGACATAACTCCAGAGCTCCCAGAATTACAGAATTGCTGCATATTCAGATTCCCCACTGGTAAAGCTGAATGTGTTTCCATTTCTTTTTATGCATTCATTGCCAATAGATTTTTCACCTACAAAAAGACATTGCTAGAATTATATTAAAATAACTTTGGAACTAACTTCCATGTGCCAAGCCATTAAATCCACAAACCTAGGTGGAACATGAATAAAGTGACAAGTGTCATGTCAACATAACATAAAAAGAAGGATAACTGCTTCTCTCTGTAAAACAATCATCATATAAAATAATAAATGATGATAACTTTACTTTATAAGCCATTTAAAAATTACAATACATTATCAGGAAGAAATAAAACACTTTAAAAAACATTGTGAATCAAGTAAGTCCACATGCAATGCAAACATGTTACTATTTGGTACTTGAATTGGAGATCTTAGGTGACATGAATGAAATTTGGTTTAGAGATTGGTGAAATGACCTTTGCAGAGTTAAGTGGCAATAAATTGACAAGGCATATCTACGGGTCATAGCTCTTAAACTCTAGACTACTCTGGTAGTAAAAATTATGCATCATATGCTTAAAGTGTGATACTTTTATCAGATGCCAAAAATTTACTCTTTTTACCAATGAAATTGGCTTCATCTCAGTTTTATTTGGACTCAAGTTGAGGTAAATACCTACATCTCCAGAAAATACCAACAAGTAGACCTTCTGAATTGTGTCATTGCAGAAAGTTCACCGCACATAAATGTGTTCGTAGTTACATAAATGTATAAAATACTTTCACTAAATATCAACTTAACTAATTTCTCAGTAATCTGGTGACATCTGTGATCTTCTGAGAAATGTCACGTCGGACATTTTAGATTATACACAAATGCCAATGGTTTTAGATACCATGATCTATTTGAATTGCGAGAAAGACACCCAGTATGTTCAGAGTAGATTTAAGTTTTGGACAATTTTATACACAACAACAATCGATCAAATATTCTCCACGTCCGTGAAGATTTCTGTTCAATTTCCCTACTTTAGCAATTTGGAGAATTTAAAAGATTTGTACGGTTCAAGAGAACTTCAAACTGGAAAAGAAAAAGCAACTAAGAACTAGAATATACAATAATATCAGAACTCAGAAGGTATCTACAAGAAGATCTACCACAATTACAGCTCTGCGTCACAAATTTACTTCTGTTGCAATACACAGTATTCCTCACGCAAGACCTAAGAGATATACCATGAGAACCAACAGCCTATGAATGAACAAGAGCTCAAACATAATTGAAATTGAAGAAACATGATTGATATATCTGACCATTACTGCAGAAGAAAACAATTTCAGCATGCAAAAAGAAGAAGAAAAAGCCTAGCTACAGGTATAAGAATAGAGGATTCCAACTCCCTCAAGAAATTCATGATATGGGGAAGATCTACGAGGAGTATCAATTATTGAACTCAACATCGACTCTTAAAACAAGAACAGAGAAAGGTAACAGCACCCTTATACACAAAAAAGCATCTTCAGAAAGCGCTTATGAGGATCCCAAGGCAAAAGATTTTTAGAAATAAGAATATATATTATACTCCCTTTCCCTGGACCTATCAGTGGCATAGCGGACGATCAAACGAGTATTTGCTCAACTTCACAGGAAAAATAAGTTCAGACATCAAAACTGTGATTCTGTATCCTTATCCTTACCTAGGGATAGACTCCAACAAAAAACAAGAAACAAAATTTCTTTTTAGTTGTCATCCCATATATTTTTCAATTCAATCAAAGAAAATGAAGCAGCAAAACCATGCTGATTCCCTCACTCCACAAAAACCACAGAGAGAGGTGAGAAAAAAAAAAAAAGTAATGAAGAACTTCAAAGACATGCGTGCGATACCAGAGGATCGACACCCAAACTCAGCAAGGTGGGATTTTTATATCCTATCGATTGAAAACGGACGGAAAGGAAAAGATGAGCCGAGATCAAGGTGGCAGCTTTATTCCCATACCGAAGAGAACAAGAAACAAGAAAACCACAACAGACCTCTCGATATTCTTATCCAAAAAGCGAGCAACTTGGGAAAAAGTTCTCCGGGCCACGACCGAATCACTCCAAAGGGGGGAAGCCCCGCTCGGATTTGATCTCCGGGAATTCTCACCTATCGACGTCTATAAGAAAAGGGGAGGTCAAGGCGAATTCTAGTGAACGGAGGAAGCTGAGGCGGAGTCCACCGTCGATCGGCAGACGCGAGAACATACTGGTACGATCCGAGGGAAGGGCAGATGTGGATTCGCGTCTCAGCTCACGAAGGCGACCAATTATTAGGTTAATGAGATGAAACGGAGGACAGAATGGGAATTTTGCTTCTTAAATACAACCCCCATGCAGGTTCTATTTTCCTAATAGACCCCTTTTCGTTTCACTTTTCTCTAACAGCCCCCTATAAGATTTATTCACTGCAGTCCTTCGGGGTTTTGAGTTTTTCACATGGCCCCCTGCGGGTGAACGCATTAGGTTTTTTTATTTTACGTATCGACCCTTACAAATTTCGATATAACGGATAGATCCCTCCAGCGATTAAGATAATATATATATATATATATTAATTAAAATATGACTTAAAAAGCTATTTTTCTGCATCCAAAAAAACAAAAAACCCTTTGATGTCTTTATAATCATAACAAGTTTTTGAAAGGCATCAATATTAACAGTCAATTATCAGTAAACTCATAGAGATTAATATGGTGATGCCATATAATTTATAAGATTTTGCAAGATATGTGTTAAGCTAAAAAATCATATAATAACTATGAAAAACCGGAGGTGGTATGGTTGGATAAAAGTAATCATGTTGGTGCGTCGTCGTCACTTTTGGCCATCCACAAGCAGCTCTAATGGCCTTTCCGCAAGCCTTCCTCCTTCTCTTTGTGAGATTCTTTGAGAGTTGTTTTGCTGTGGAAGTGGAACACAACTTTTCTTACTTTGGTCATGCACCGGTTGGTCGAGGGCTATAAACTACCAAGTGGTGCGTGCGTGCGTGCACATGGATTCCTTTTGTTGTTGCTGTATCTTTTCTTATTCTTCTTCCTCATCGGTCTTGATTCGGTGAAGGTGGTATTACAGAGTGCTTTTATTGCTTTATTTATTTATTTTATTTCTCGTCGGTAGGCAAGAGTTCTAATGCATTGATCCTTCTCCAAGTGCGATTTATGGATGAGTAGGCTCAAATCAAATTTACCATACAAATTAATGTTAGAGGATCATCTCATTTACCACACAGAAGAAGAATAATTACCACAAAGAAGTGACATGCTTGCGATATGTATTTGCACGATTGTAACATTAAGCTTCAGATGTTAGAACGAAAAATAAGCAAATGTACAAAGATCTTTATATGCCTCGGTATATATTATTTTTCCTAGGGAAAGATTTGAACATATGAAACATTAAATGCGGAATTGGTCACAAAACTGAGTTCAAAGAATGATGAGAGTGGCAAAGACGAGATGCGGCTGTAGCAATTGAAACTGCTTTTATGGGTAATGTAACATAGAGACTCTGACAACCTATGGTATTAAACTACCCTGTAACTCCAAAAGATACTCGCTAAGAGAGAATTAGAGAGAGACTAGAGAGACACAAAAACCTCTTCATGATGCTCCTGAATGCAAGTTTATCAAAAGGGCACTCACTCCATGGAATAGGAATCATAAATTGCCAATCCGAGAAAAAGTATAGAACTAATTTCAGATTTATGGTAGGAAAACACCTCGAAAAGGAGATGTTAATATTTCCCACACAATGGGAGTCTATTGAGGCTTCCCATTGATTGTGCTAGTGCTTTAGAGCTAGCTGCAGCATCTAAAATCCCCTTTCTTGAACTCGCTGGGGGTAGCCATTTCCCCTCGTTCGGCTGTTATAATCCCTGTCGTTGCTGTCTTGCCTGCTGCCCCGACCAAACATCCGGCCACCAAAACGCCCCCTTGAGGTCTCGGATGGGTATCCTCCTCTTCCTCTGCCCCTTTCTGAAGAAAAAGATTGAAAAGATGAAAACTAACTTGTCTTACCACCTCAAATATTTTTTTCTGGAATCGATACAAACAAGGGAACCCCATTGCCAATGCTGGGGAAGTGGGAACAGATATAGTTGCCAAAATGGATGAGCTGATTCTTTATGAAAAATATACTAGAAAATTGTCAGGCGTTTATTTATGCTGTTTAGACATTCACAGGTTACATCTCTAATGTATATTGCAAACACAAACAATAATATTGAATATCAAAAAAATAAGCAGTTTTGGACTTAGGCATTTTCTACGAGACTGCATATGGTTATAAAAAAAAAAGCAATATCTTATGTACATATATGTCGGTATCTGTAATTTCACAAATATATGACAATTGAGAATATTAATGAAAAATTAGGATTAACAGCACAACGTGCCTTCTTTCTCTTGAGGAAGCACTGACGGAGCCAGACACACTCGTGATTTCTACATCAGGGTCTAGATTAGTGACCATCAAGATCCAGAGGATAGATAAGAAAGGTAGCAAAAGCAAGAGGTAAGACAAGAAAGACACGAGAGAAATGCAGATATGCCGCATTGTTAGTTTGCCACCTCTTTTGTTTTCTGCTCACACCATAAACTTAAAATATTCAGTTTTCTGGTGAGTATGAAGGATCAGAGTAGGAATCTATCCAGCATTGTTAGTTGCCACCTCCAGATGTCTGAATAAATCACCAGGTATCCAAACAGGCATCCAAAATTTTCCCCTCTTGATCTACTTCTTATCAACCACAACTTTCTATGTAAAACACAACAAAGTCATAAAATCATAAAAAGCAAGGTTGATTCGACAATCCACTATATCTGCCAAGGTCCATGCATATTTCATGCTTCACTTCCCGATAAGTTTGAATATTCCATGTTGCTTTCTTTTTATCTCGTAACAAACAAGCTTAGTATAATTAAGCGCTAATGGAGTCTGTTGTTACTCGATCCATTGCTTGTTCAGTTAAGACGAAAGAAAAGAAAAGCGAATGTTATTGAATTAGGCTAGGCGGCAATCTACTTGAAGCAGACAAACAAACCCTATACACACATTACATTCAGGATGAGGCATAGGCACTGATCGTTATCTAGACTAACTTGATTATTGACTTCGCCTGTACATTGTTATCTAGACTCACTTGATTATTGACTTTGCCACTTCTTCGCCTGTACACATCATCATATGCCAAATTGCACTAGAAATGACAGTCACGGAGTACAACATACGATGCCCCATCCTAAAAAATCAATGCTTATGATCTGGAATGATGAGAAAAGGTTTATAAGAGTTTGAACTATGACATCACTGAAGTTCAACTGTGACTCCAACTTAAATTAGTTCTACAGGACAAAAAAAAGCTATAAAATGCTTCATGAGTTCACATTCTGCTAAAAGGTTTTTGGTCACATATATTCTATTAAACAAATCAATATATATAGAAATCAATAGTGAAAAATGTTTAGCATAAGGATTGAAAATTATAATGCAAACAGTTGACGAAAAATTATACAAGACATGACTTACTTCCTCGTGAAGCCCCACTGTTCGGTCTTCTCCCCTCAACATGAATCAGCCGCCCATTCAACTGTATTGGAGATGCCTGCACGTCAACAATGATTCTGTAAGATACGCAGATCTGAAAGATGCTTCAGAGATTCGAGGTTCAGAAAGTTGACAATTGTCTTATGCATAAAAGAACCTGTCTTAAGTTACAAAGAGGTCAAAAGAGACAACAACATGAACACAATAGTTGTTTGCAGAAGAAAACTCAACTGTCCAACATTGACCAAATTAAGTAACGGTCTCGATTTTGTAAAATAGAGCAGTCAAGGAAAATGAACTAGCATCAATTACCGAACAAGCACAAATTTTATCAGAACACGATCAAAGAATTCATCTGGTTACAAATAAGAAACAAGGACAAACAAACACACATCAATCAACGTTTAGTTAAAAACATATACAATGATAATTTGATCCAGAGTTATCTAGCACGTATCTGACACTGATTCAGATTTAGAGTTATTGGAAGAGGACAAACCTTAAGTGCATTATGTACCCCAATGGCATCTTCGTACTCAATGAAGGCATAGAAAACATCAGACTCCTGCAAATTCACATGAACTAGACAACTGAGGCAAACATTCCAACCTATGTTAATATGTTTAAAATAGTACAACAAGGTTCTATGAGATTTACCTTGCGGCTCCTAATAGAAACACCATCAGGCCTTAGTCTACCAAAGTTCTTAAAGACTTGCTCAAGGTCCAGAACTGAAATAGATGAAGAGAGATTTCCCACATAAACTGATCTTGCTTCACCTGAGAACAAAGATAAAAGAGATCACTAAAAGCAGTTTTAAGAAAGCAGGAGGAATCTTCTGATAGAACAGAATAGTGTAAAACCATAAAGAACAAACAAAAAAGAAACTACAAAACTACAAAAAATATATGCTAATGGAATGAAGAACCAATTGGTTGTTTGGAATCGATATGCAAATTCAAACTCTCACTAGATTTAAAAGTAAAGAAATTTGAAGTATTAGGAAGATAATACCTTAATAGTTGTATCCAGATCAAAGATTGCAAAAATGTTACTAGGTCACTAAAAGTAATTACTAAGAAACTCAGCCATATGAGATTACGAAGCCTAATTTTCTATTAGAGGGATGACCTTTTAATTTCTTGAAATATGCAAAACCAATTGGTTGTTTGAGATTGATATGCAAATTCAAATTCTCACTGGAGTTAAAATTAATGAAATTTGAGGTATTAGGAAGATGATAGATATCTTAATAGTTGGGTCCAGATCAAAAATTGCACAAAC